GGGGTTGGCCGGCCTGGGCGGCAGCCAGCCGGTGAGATCCTGGAGGTCAGGCTTACCTGGCCTTCACTGACTCGGATGCACTTTGAATTAAAGACGGGAATTCATTGATTAATTAATGTGCATTCAGTATTTTGAGGGTGTGAATTCTTACGAAAGCACTGAGCTTTATTAATTTGTGCTTGGTTAATTTGGCTGGACAAAAAAGTTGTGGGTGTTTTGCCCTCCCTCCCCAAACACACGCACGCATTTCAGTAGCCTTTACCAGGTTGCAGCTTGTGAGGAGACATGAACTGGTTGTATTTGTTTCACCAAATGTGTGAACAATTTATTTACGCTCATCGGTCAAACACCTACCTCAGTTTAAACAATTATACGTGATTTGCCCCTTTAAATTCAGTCTTTATGTCTTCCACATTTCCTTTAATGCTCTCGTGTACACAGACATTGATATGTCCGTGCCTTGGAGATGGACATGGGCGTCTATCTGATTTACTGTTACGTTAATTCATTCCAAATTCTCACCATTTTTCTTTTTTTCATGCGTATGTGTGTGGGAATAAATTGAAGTATCGACTTCTAGGAAAGATTAGCAGTGTTTGTTGTATATATTTCTGTATAACTTCAGTAGTATCTAGATGTGAACATTAACGAGGATATTACACTCTAGACAACTCTTATAAAGTAACTTTCATTGTGGAAAAAAAATGGAAATGGAAAGCAGTGCAAACACTGAAAAACATTTCAGTTTCTGAGCACCAGTTCTCTTTAGGTATAAAGAGTTGTCAAGACCCGTATCTGTTGTTTCATCTTGTGCAGTTGAGCTGCACCTGGAACATAACTGTGCAAAGCTCTGGAAGGACTGCACAAATCTTTGTGCTTTTTTGGTTGGGGCTTACTTTGGGTTATTTTATCAACATTTTTTTTTTTTTTCCTCTGATCCCCTCTGGCCCTGGAGTGGTATATATCAAGAAACTTCAAGGCAAATGGAAAACTGAAATTATTTGTGGTTACTGTGAATTTATTATTACTTCATTTTATTGAAGTAACTTGGGAAGTAAGATGAAATGATTTTAGAATTCAGTCTAAATATAGATCTGTTGTGTAGCAAATATTTTCAGGAATGGTAAGAAAATTGGCTATATTTGTAGAAACCTCCGAAGTCTAACTAAGCACCCTGCGGATGCAACAGGGGAAATCAGGACAACTAACACTGCCCTTCTGAACACATTGTTTTATTACATCTTCTGTGGGCGGTTTTCTTCATTGTAGCCTTAACTTCTTTTAGGCTTGCTGGTTCTTCTCGGAGACTTCTGAAAGGCTCTCCACAGGCCCAGCGGGTCCATTGAGCCTTAGGCCTTTGGTTTCTATAGCTGAAAAGGTAGAAAAAGATAGAGTGTATAAAAGGCTAAAAGATGCTTTTGCTTACACAGTGGTAGGAGTCTGAGTAGATTCAGCCTTTGTGCTGAGATCCCAGACATACACACCTGGGTGTAATATCTGGGTAAGTTACTGCTGTTCACAGCTACTGTACATTTTCCCTTTCATCGTTATTGTTTCATTAAGGAATGCTGTGTAAGGTAAACTTCGTATGCGGCCACACGCATCTCTGTTCAACCCTTGCAGCCTGCAGCTACCGCAGAAAATGAAAAGAAACAGGACAGTATTACTTGATCTGTGTGGAGTTGTCCTCCTCAGAACCACGCAAAATTTGGCACGTGTTTCAGTCATCTGAGTTTCCTTTGCGAGTCAGAAGTAACGTATATAGTCTCCTGACTCCATGTCAAATTTATTATTTGTTAAATTTATTGTTTCTCATCCTTGAAAGTTCATAGAGTGTTTTCTTAATCATGGGGGCTTTTAAGTGTGCTTGTCAAAAACATGACAGAATAATTTACTCCTGTCCCAGTCAACATAAATGAGGCATGAAACCTTCTATACGGGACTAAAAAGGACATAGGTTCATAAGTTTGAATGCTCGTAGACCTAGATTTTATTTTGTTTCATTTTATTTGCTTACTTGCTTAAAGGAGGCCCTGAACACTACCTAATAAATTGCAGTGGTAACATTTTCAGGTCAATCAATTATTTGAAGGTAGCTGTTAAAAAAAATAAAGTTAACATAGCGGTCACAAAAGCTGCCATATTTAGAGCAATAGATGTACACATGTATGCCTTCACTAAAATCTTTTGCGAGGTGGTGGTACCGATCCCTGCTATGGACTGCTGAGCATATACAATCTTTAAAATATTTATCACAACACCTTCACTGAAGGTAGTCTGGTATTACTTTTACCCTCATACAGATGGGCAAATGAGACGGGGCAAGGGATTTCCCCAATATCACATACTGAGGCAGATTTCTCCAGTGTGCTAATCTGTAATGCTGTAGAGCAGCAGTTGCTTTCCCACAAGTTCTTGGAGAGTGCATCATCATTATCTGTTAAGATGAAATACTAGTGCATCCTCTCAAATGTATTGGATGTCATCTGTGCAAAGAGTGTCATCTGCAGTGCTACATTCACGTTAGCTCCTGTGACACGAAAACTTTCAAATACCAGTCGTAATACCTAATGCTTGTGTAATCTTTTACGTGACCAAGACGCTGTATAAATGTAGACAGTGAAAAACTCAAGTTATTTTACCTACCTCCTCTGTGGTGGTTGTTAGCCAATCTCGTCTGCACATTCGGGAAAATTTTAAGGAGTACCAGTGATCAGAGGACTAATTCTGTTTAATTAAAACTAATTTTGAGGTCACGCTATCTGTAAGAAAAATTCAGATAATAGAACATCACTGCAGCTGCTTAGAAAAGAGGAGATACTGGGTTTAAGCAGAAAATTGCAGCTGAATGCTTCCCCTCTAAGTGTTCCTTGTGTTCATACATCAGAAACCTT